TAATGGCCAGTACTAGACCTTAGGGATTTGAATACATACGGATAATGCCACATGGGAAGTGATGATGTTGATGTATGTGGAGAAACCATGCAAGAGTGGAGACAGATGATGCATGCTGCTACAATTGTAGATCTGAAATCAGCATACCTGTAATTACATGTAGCAGGAAGCAGTGTCAGTACCGACTTGTAAAGTACGAGGGGACCATTTATTGCCTTACTAGATTGGGGTTTGGGTTAACCATTGTGTCAAAAATCATGGCAGCAGTGCTCAAGACTATATTGAAACAGGAGGAGAGAATAGGGCAGGCCACAAACTCCTATATTGATGGCATCCTGGTGGATGAGATGGTTGTGCATGCAGAAAAGGTAAGATGCCACCTCAAAAAATATGGATTAATATCAAAACTTGCAGAGTCACTTGACTGGGGAGCAGCACTTGGGTTAAAGTTGTAGAAGGATAAAGGAACTAAAGAGTTGGTGTTCTGAAGAGGTAATGAGATTCCACCTGTGATGGATAAGATGAGCAAACAAGAATTGTTTTCAACATGTGGGAAGCTGGTGGGTCACTACCCTGTTCTACATGCAGCTATATAAAAAGAAAGGCCAAGGAGATAAGATGGGACAACCGAGCGAGTGGATCCAGTAAGAGGAAAATGGCACATACCAAAGGTGGATGATGACATAGTTTAGTATGATGCAAGTAGCATAGCAATGGGAGTTATATTGGAGGTAGGGGGTGTCAAAGTTGTGGACACTGCTTGGTTGAGGAAGAAAACACAAAGGTGAAGATGGAATCGGCAACAGTGTTGGCATGGAGTGAGTCAGTTATTATGAAGGAGAGAAGGATACGGACTAAGGGAGCAGCAGAGATGCTCATAAAGCATAGATTGGGAATTCTGGAGGACATTATTAAAGAGTTTGGCCTACAGGTTAGAGCCAGCCTTGTATCCTCAGAGGCTAATAAGGCTGATGTGCTAACAAGGGTGAGGAAAGCTTGGATAAAAATGACACTTGGTGCAACCAAAGAATATGTCGGGTAATGTCGGTGTAAAAAAATTGCATGAAATACACCACATAGGTGTTGAGAGGACATAATATTTGGCCAAGAAAGGTAGATCTGACTGTCTCTAGGGGAGTTGTGTGTAGAGTAGTGTGAACATGCCAATCAATTGATCCTGTGGCAAGTATGCATGAGGCTGGTGAAGTTAATATCTCAAACAATTGGGCAAGACTAGTGACTGACATCATGCATTACCAAAATGTGTCATATATGTTGATGGTTGATTGCAGGCCCAGCCAAATAGTCATGTGGCGGGAGTTAAAGAGAGAAACGGGGGACAGCAGTTGCATCTATGCTGAACGAGCTATTCCTAGAGAGAGGCCCAGTGGAAGAGGTCCTAAAGGATAATGGCAAAGCTTTCAAGTCAGTACCAGTCAAGGCAGTACTGGATAGGTGGAATGTATGAGCCTATTACAGGGCTGCATACAGACCTAGTGGAAACAGTATTGTAGAGAAACACCACAGGACAGTGAAGGCAATAGCTGAGAGGGGTCATGCATCACAAATTGAGGCAGTCTATGGGTATAACTTGTCCTCTCAGGTAGGCCAGGAGGAGGATTCTGTACTGCAGTGGAGGAGGATTCTATACCGCAGTGTGCAATATTTCAGTATGAGTGGAGACATCCATTGGTCATCCCCAAAAATGTAGCAGCAGCAAGGCAACCTGGTTCAATTTAAATTAGATGTGAGGTATGGATAAAGCCGACTGATGCTCACTGTACCATGTAATGGGAACAGGGAATGGTGACTGGAGTACATTCACAGAATAATGTTTCTGCAGATGGGACCCCTCGACACATCCTGGATGTATGACAAGTGAATGACTCAACGGATAACAGTGATAGTACAGCAATGCAAGGTGATATTGATACAGATGATCCAGCATGTAGGTCAGGAAGAGAGATGCAGCTACCTTACTGGGTACGTGACTATGTGGTGTGTGGATGATCTTGTTGAGATCAAGGAGGGGGGCCTTGTGGTAAAGAGATTAGAGAAAAAAAAAGTGAAAACTTACCGATGACGGAAGCGGAAAAGCTAGGAAATTGGAAAAAACACATATAGGGAAGTGCCAATGCATTATGGGTAAGTGATGGTTGTATAAATGCCAGAAAGAATGATGAGTGAGGTGATTTTGCTATTCCTTTGTAAATGGTGTCGACAAATGAAGGACAGTGGAGAGGAATGGACAAGAGAAAGAGGAAAGGAAGAGGAAGAGTTTTTTTTCTCTGTCGTTTCTGCATATCAGTGAGACAATAGTTTCTTTCATCATTCCATGGGGGAAAAGGAAGAAACTATCTAGCCATGGTGTGGAAAGAGTAGGATTTTAGTTTTCTCTGATTGGTCAAATATTTCATATGGTGATGTTAATTTCTAACCTATATAGATTTTAATTTAAACGGTATTTATTGTACTGTGGAATCATTTTGGCATGTTTGTAATATTCTCTGTTATTGAATAGAAAATAAAGTTTGGGTGTTTTAATATGGTAGGTATGTGGGTATATATTTCTGTTGAAAATAGTGTTTATTTTCTATATTATCTAGTGTTCTAGAAAACTGATTTAATTCATCTTCCAAGTTTTGTGTTGTTGGTGCCATACACTATTATTATGACTATATTGAAAAGTTCCCTATCAGTTTCATAAGAGACAAATTGACAGTTACTAGTTCTTCATATCTTTGTTTCATATTTTATCCCTATTTCTTTTTTCATTTTTCTCTCTGTCTGCATAATTTGTATTCATTGCTTATGAAGTCTCCACTACTTATTGATGTCTTTTCACATACCCACCAGAATATTAATGTTTAGTCTTTCTGTTTCTTGCTTGATATTTCCTCACATTCTATACCTGCTGATCCGATACATTTGTATAAAAGATATGAGTTCACCTAACTCAACACCTCTAGTCATGCTTGGTTAACATTGAGTCAGATATGTGACCTAAAAAAAGAGAAGCTTTCATATCCACATTACAGATGGTGCTACTGTATCTAAATTGAACTTTATGAAACCATTTAAGACTATAAAATTACTTAAGTGGACTCAAAATCTTTTTACTTACATACAAACTTAGTCTTGTAATTCTGCTGAACATTAGCTAAACAAAATATTTTATTATTAAATTCTTGTTGAAATCACAACATTGTTTCTGATTTTTTTGCCACTCTCTCATACAGTGACTTGTTCTTTTCCTTACTGTAGATTTTTTTCATTTCACTTCTGTTTGTATGGTATTTGTTTTTACCTTGATTCACTCAAAGCATATTATAGTTTGTGAGAGAATAAAGTTATATAGTTAAAGATAAACATTTATCACATATGCAATGTATGATACAATATGTGCTCATAGCGTAACTGATATCTGCATGAAAAGTGGAATCAGCAAACTGAGTTCAAACTCTGGCTGAGTCTGTTGCATTCAATTTTGGGTAGAAACCAGTCTGAAAAGAAAAATTCCGAATTTCAAACCGTGGAGAAGTCAATAGGAAAATATTCCACTATCTTTTTGAAAAATTCATTTTAATCCACAGGTATTACTGCCATATATATATAGGAGTAAATAGGTTTTCCCTATCATCCTGTTCACACTCCTTCTCTGTCTTTTGAAGTGGAGTAGAGGTTTATTTCTTGTTTCCTGTTTAAGATTGGGTTTCTGGTTCCTTTCAAAGTTTACTTCTACTTTATACTTCTAACTGTTCACTAATTAAATCTTGACATCTTCAAGTCTAGCTGTTACCTTTCTTGAATTTCACTTCTTGCCCTTTCTTACACTAATACAACTCAACACAGAAACACTCTGCCTTGAGTGGCTCTTGGGCCTTGTATTGGGTGAACATTAGCAAAAAGAAATCTGGTCTGATGCTCCTACTATATATCTTGAAATTCTCAACAAAATCAAAAAAATAAGTTTGCAATATAATCAGTCCTGACCCGGCATCTTGATTTCAGTCATTTTCCTACTTCCTTCTTTTTAAAATTATTTTTATGTCTGCTGTTCTAATGAGCTTTCCTCATGAATTTAAGCGTACTACTAGATTGGCAACTAGGTATAGTCATTTTATTGTTGAATTAGCTAAATGTAACCGTAAGTTCTATTCTGATAGTTTCTTTTCTCACACTTCTTGCCAGTGGAACACAATTCTGTTTTTATGTTTCCCTGCCACCAACAATCTTCAAAAAGTTAAATGCAATATCAATTGCTTCTGTCTTCCTGAATCCTGTTCTTTTATTATTGAACACCTCCAAAACAAAACTGCTTTCATTTAATCGGCACAGAGAACCATTTCTATCTGCCATCAGCATGGCTGACACTAGACAACAGGAGAGCAAAACACTACACCTTCTTGGCCTCATGTTTTCCACTGATATGAAGTGGAGTGACTATATCAAAAACAATAGCTTCATCTACTGCAAGGAAAGTTTGGTCACTGTATTGTGCCAGAAAGTTTTTCTTGTCAGAATTCATTTTGCACATTTTCAAATCTACCATTCATCCATGCATTTAATACTGTTGCCATATCTGGTAGACATTATTCCCATGTTTCAAGAGATAAAGAAAGAACATCTACACAAATGTCATTGAACCAGTCTTCAGAAATAGTGTAAATAATGTAAAATAAATAATTATTTCTGTTCATTTTTAGACAATCACTGTATTTTATTTTTATTTTAATCATTTATTTATTTTATTTATGTGTTCACATAAAGAGATTCTTGTATCCCTTTAAAGATGCAGTTTTTGTGAATATCCAAAATATGTACTTGCTTAAATTGTTTTTGTTTTTAAGAAGAAAATATTTATGTCAGCTATTGGTGTAAAGTTTTGTATTATCGCATGTGATTTTATTCGTGTGAAGCGTCTGCTAAATTTCGTTTCGTTTGTTTTCTTTCGAATTTTAAACGACAGAAAACCGGAAGTTGAACAAAACGAGTGCGAAATGGCTGACATTGAGCAACCACAACGTGATTCGACAGAGAAGAAAAACAAAATTACTGCTTGGAAATGTGTCGCTAAGGCGAAGTTGCCAGTTGTCAAGTCGGTAATTAGAAGATAGTTGTATTTTATTTAATTTGTGCCTACTTATATTTCGAACCAGTATTTTTTTTTATAAATTTCTTGTCAATCAGCTGTTCACATAGTATAGTGAGCTGATTAATTGCTCTTTTAATTTTATTTTTGAGTTTATGTCGTGAGTGAAGGAGTATTTGGAAAGAGCATTTTCCCCTTGCCTGTAAAATCTAATCTAGAAGAAAATAATTGCTATTGAGGAGTTGCCATGTTGATTAATTATTTAAAACATTGAGTTCGTAAAAAAAAAAAACTCATCCATTCATTTGTTTGCATTATATTTTCTGGGTATGTTGATAGAAGTTAAATATTTATAATTTACATATTTTATAAATTTTTTTATCTGATCACTATACTAGCAAATGATTTAATATTTGCGTGTAATTTTAAATTTTATTTACATGCCTTTTTAGGTTCTGCACTCGCTTAACCCGGCCCTTGTTAAGTACAACTCTTTGTTTAGTTTTAAAAAAAACTTGTTTGTAGGAACTGTTGTACAAATCAAGTTTTTTTTTTTTTTTTTTATGAATCGAAGTTTTATTGATTTTTAAAAAATATTAATTTGAAAGTTCGTAAATTAAATTGTTAAAACTAAAGCAAAATGATTAAATTAAAAACGTATTATTTTCTACGCTGATATCAAACCTTAAACGTAAAAAACACGTTAAAAATTAACAATGAGAAATATTTTCATATTTCATTAATTGGTATGTAAGACTACAATTTGTCTTTTCTTTTATGTTGGTATATAAATTTATTAATTAAATGTAAATGAAAACTTCTGGTATCTATGTGGGATTATAGTATGTTTATGCTTATACACGTCGGGGTTACCAAATGATGTGGTGGGGTCACTCACATAAAAGCAGCAGAAACAGCCTCGTGTTCTCAGGAAATAAAAAATATACTTTACACTTTACAGGAAATAAAATATACACAAAGATAACAGCAAAGGTATGTGTTTTTTTGTGTACTGGTGTGTGTATTTTTGGTCACAAGTGTTTCATGGTTGCATGTGATAAAAGGGAGAAGTTACTCCATATTATTAGAGAGAGAGAAGTTGGGACATGTGTTGCCCATCCAAAGGTTCATAGTGAAGAGATTGAATTCAACGTTTTTTAGCAGAATGTCCATATTTCTGACAGGAACAGTTTCTGTTGCATGCTGGGAGAACTTATTATTATTATTTTTTTTATTTAATTTATTTTATACAAAGTTTTAATGTTACTGTTTCATTTTTATTTTGTTTATAATACTAATTATTATTTTATATTTTTATTTATTTGTAATAAGATGTAGATGTCCCTACATCTCTGATCATCTGTAGCCAGAGAAAAGATCAATTGAATAAGTATGGCTCCTGAGAAGTACTTGTACTAGCATTGAAAGTTTAATTTATTTTAAAGCCAAACAAATTTAAATGTTATAATACACTGTGTATGGTTGCAAGAGTAATAAATGAAAATCAACAATATATTGCCAGTAAGTCAGAAAGAAAAAGAAAATTAGAGAGGCCATGCTTGTAGATGAAGGAATCTGGTATCGACGATGGGAGAGTGGGGGTTGTATTCTGGCCTCACTTTAAACCTTGCATCAGGTCAGTTGACCTGCCTTGAGGTTCAGTGAGTGGTTTTAGCAGTCAGGGTGACTTAGCATTTTTAATATCACATTTTTGCTTTAACGGCAACGTTTGTGGCTGACTTTCATGTTTAAATTTAATTTTTTTTTTATTTGTTTTGAGAGCTGGATGCAATACTTGCAGAGTGAAATTTTTTCATTTTCACATCTACTGACTTTATCATTAGCTGAGGATGTGTTGGTGAATAGAAGCTTGGAAGGAGAAATCAGAGAGATGAGTTCAAATTCCAATTGAGTTTGTTACATCCTCTTACACACAAATACATTTGAGAAGCTTATGAGTTCATCTCTTCTGTCCACAGTTATGGACTAACTAGTAAAATGTGTATCTCCTCCAAAAAAAAAAAAAACTGTTGATAATCAATAGCTAAAAAAGAAAATATTCTTGTAATTAAAATATGTTTTGGCTTTAAATAACCTATAAAGGGTTGATAATCAATAAAAAACAAAAAACAAATCAATTATCATTAACTAAGCAGTTTTTTCTTCAACACACATGCAAATTTGTTTGTATTCTCAGACTAAAAATTGACCATATACTATGTTATTTCATGTGTGTAGGGTAACTAAAGTCATGGAACAAAAACTTCTAAATATCTTATATATAATCTTGTTATTTTGTCAGGTATAAACTTTTGTTTTGTTTTGACTACTAAGTAAAAAAAAAAAAAAGAAAACTCTCATTCCTGTGACATTGTACTTTGATATGTTAAAATATATAATGACAATAACTAAAGTATTTCTGTTTGTTCAAAGTGAAACATCTTAAAGGAAGCAATAGTGACAACAGCAAAAGAAATCATTGCAAGCAAAGATAAATAATAAGAAATAAAAAATAAATGAATGACAGTTGAAATTCTTAATCTAAGAAGAAAGATACAGCATATGCTAATAGATGGTGCAGAAATGAAAGCTTGATTTACACACACAAAAAATCAAATAATCTGTAACCTTTACTGAAAACAAACAGCTTACATGCAGTTAGGGAACGAGTTTATTGAATACATAAAAGGGGTATGACAGGAGGATTTGTAAGAGGACTAGAAAATCTGTAAGGATTTATTATCAGCGGATATAACTATAACTTATGCAGATGACATTGTGTTGTTAGTGGGAGATTTAGAAAAAAACTTGAAAGAACATATTCTTTCATTTTTGTTTTTTACAAAGCAAGAAGAAAGGACCAAATATTAACGGTTAGAAGTTGTCAGCAAAAGAGACAGCCTGCATAGTTGTCAGCAAAAGAGATAGCCTAAAGTACAAGTTACATATTGGGGATGTGAAAAATCTAGCAGGTCCAAAAATGTAACTATCTTGGTAGTATATTGGTTGATTTGTTTGATTTATTTTCTACTGCTTATCAATGCTTTGCAGGTTAAATAAAACCAGGAAATGTTTTTTTTTTTTCAACTAAGAATTTCTTGTACTTTTTTTTTTTTTTTGAGATAATAATGGTTTAGTGATACAAGTCTTACTAATTAACCCATAGCTGGAGCAGGAGAAATTGATACATACCTTTCCTAAGGGTATTTACATGTAAGTGAATATAACAAACCTAATGGAACTTGGCTCTGAGATTTACAATTCCAAGTCCTTATCCATTACACCACCTGCACATCCAAGCTTCTAGCCCCTAGTATTCCTAAGTGCTGGTATCATAATGATAGAGAATGTGATGCAGAATAGTCAAAAGATGTCTTTCAGAAACAGGTAAATATATTAAAGGATCAGAAAATGTCCTTAGAATCAAGGAAAAGTGTGTTAACCCTTGCTATGTAATATCTAATCTCCTATATGACAATGAATATTGAACATAGATGAAGGAGATACTTGAAACAATAGGGGATGTAATTCTACTGATGAATGCTAAGAATATCATGGACAGAGTATGTGAGAAAGCCTTAAAGAGAGTAAAGAAACTGCTGTTAACAGACAGAGATAGCTGAATTAGTGGGTACACAATGAAAAAAAGAGAATTTAAAACATTCACATGATATATTAAAGGCAAAAGAAGCAGAGGAAAATGAAGAGTGACCGACTTGGTAAGTTAACTGGATGCTTCAACAAGACTAGGGTTATGAATGGAGCAAGATTTACTTTGAGCAACAAAAGACAGGAAGTTGTGGAGAATCACAACTGCTCACATCCTGATAGGACATGGCACACACACACACACACACAGAGAAAACTGTTACCACAAGATGTAGCAGAAAAATATCAAATATAGAAATTTCAATACAGAGCTATTACTAGCCATGCACTTGACCTGTTTTTAAATATTATTTCCTGTGAAATAATTTAGGATATTTAAAAAAAAAAATCCCCAAAGAATATTTATAGTCGTAGTCTTATACAGAATTTAATAACTGCAATTCTCTTAATGTTTTATTGGAAAGTTACTCTTGTGATGCCAACTTTTGCCACTTCATGGACACATAACAGGAATTGTACTTTTTAAATTTTTGATCAGACTTTACATTCATTTCTATGTCTTCATAGTGTATATCTTATTCTTTGAAAATTACTCCATTTTGGGGGTCATACTTAAATCCAACAGTTGAATTTTTTCAAAAGTTTTTTTTGTCAAACACATAAATAAAAGTGGAAAATTTAAAATATTTATTAACTGTAAACACTGAGGAATCTATCTTTATAGTCAACTGGTATTTGGTGTTAAATTTCCAACAGCTACATTCTAACAGATTATTGATGCTACTGTAATTCATTGGTGTATCTTTTTGTAATGTGTTCTTTGTTTGACAATATGTGTTGCTAAAAGTGTATAAAGAAAAAAAAGTGTATATAGAAAAAAAATCAAGTCTTTAAATATATGGCAAAAGTATCTTGCTGAAAGTGTATCTTGAAACAGTTGACTTATTGATAAACAGAAATGGGTAAGTTTGGACTGGTTAAATCACTAATTGCTTTATACCAGTTGTGGGGACCTAGTTCTCTTGTATTTTTAGGTCAAATTATAGATGAAAGTGGATACAAACAGATTGCAATGATGGGCCATGGTACTAATTGGTTATGATTTCTAAAAAAAAAAGTGAAATATCTAGTGTATCAGATCATATCTGGACAGATAAGGGATCACATTACCTTCTGTTGGATGAGATTCAAATAGATAGGGAATATTGCTGGAGGAGGAGAAAACTGAAAGAAGCTGTGTACATAAAGAGATTGCAGTGTAGATTTTTTTTTGTTTAGCAAGGAAGAAAATTGGAGAGCAATGCTGCATATAAAAACTAAAATTGTTTGTGTTTTATGCATTGCTGTAAAGTTTGGTATAAGTAATTGATCTGATCAATATATTGGGCATTATTTTCTTAT